ATCGTCTCACGGCTGGTTTTTTTTTTTTTTACTTTTTTTGATCGTGTTACGAGATGTTTTCGAAGGTGTAGAATGCATGTAATTGTATATATTATGCGAAACACCTTGTACATTATGTGAGATATAAGAAATACAATAGAAATATGTATAATATGTTATGACATGTTGCATGACATATAATACATAATATATATAATAAATGATACATATAATCTCATATGTATATGATACATGATATAAATGGTCAGATGAATGAAATAAATGGTAGGATAGATGAATGTAATTGAAATGAAATTAAACATAGAATGAACCATAGAACGTTGAAAATATTTAATAATAATATTTCTCTGTGATATTTAATAACATATGAATTTATATTTAGTACCAATGAAATTTCAAAACGTTCTGCTCAACAGACACAATTATATTATACACGAAAAATTCTTCCACAACGTCCAAATTCGATTTTTTAATTACTAAAAAAAAAAAAAAAAAAAAAAAAATGATCCCCAAATGCCTATACAATCAATCACTGTTTTCAACATGACAGATTAGTTTATAAACTCATTATAGCCCCCCTAGCGATGGTGTATACCTGTTTATTTGAGCTGAAAAGTGCACGTTCACCAGGGGTTCCCCTACGGCCACACATAAATTTAGGATGTTCCACGAAAGGGTCATCGATCTCGCAAGGAAAAAGGAAACCTATACCATATCCCTATCCCAGGTGTCGTTTATTACCATTATTAAAACGTCTCTTTCCATTCTTTCTCTCTCTTCTTTTTCTTTTCTTAGTTCCATGGCCACGCGTGAGTCGAATGCGAGGGTGAAATGGTCCCGATGGAGCTTCTCGTTTTCTCTCTCGACTTATGGTTTCCCTCAGTATCGACACACACGTACACACACCTCTTTCTGTTGTGTGTGCATCGACTCAGTGACTCGCAACACGTGACTTGGAATCGTCATCGTGTCGCTCTCTCATTTTGCACGACAGAATTACACAACACATGGTGTGACGCATGGTGTACCTTGCGATTTAATTCGATTGTAATTTTTATCGGGTGAAAACGAAAGTTATTCGATTGAAATAAATTGCTCGCTCGCAAAATGTATCAGCCAATATATATATATATATATATACATATATATGTCATAAAATACCTGATACCGTAATAAATCTCTGCAATCGTTCGATCAAACGCCAAACGAATTATTTCACTAAAATTCACGAAATTTTATATCACGTTTGCTCAACTTTCTGCATGTTACATGTTCGATGCTCGATGCTAGCGCGAACGAGGCTCAAACAAAATTTCAAATTTCATAGGTAACAAACGTGCCGCGAAGAAAAAAAAACCGAAAAAAAAAAAAAACATTTGAAAAACGAGGTCGCGTATAACGAAGCCACCGAAAATTATTTCGCACGTTCGGATTTGTTACGAGGGAAAAACTCCATGCAGTTACTCGGCAGTGCCATGTTCCCAATTGGATACAACGCTGTGGAAACGTTTTAACGACCGAAAAATCGACGAGAACAAGGTGAATGAAAAAGGATCGGTTTTTCCGGCCTATAAACACCGGCCGATAAATAAGATCCCTGTTAAATGAAAA